GGGGTTACATTTCCAATCAGTGGCTAGTATCTCACGTACGGATTTATTAAAGTCCGGTACGAAGCGTGATAATATATCCTGTAAATGGTTATGTATTCCTGGCAGATGTTTTATATCAAAATGAAACTTTGATATTGTATCATGCCAGCGACTCAGTAATTGCGAGTCAGGTTTCATCTCTTTCATATATTGAAGAGTTTTCTGATCACACATAAGCGTAAATGCTGTTTCGTATAAGTATTCTCGGAAGTTTGTTAAAGCTGTCACTATGGCTAATAGCTCTTGTTTAACATTTGGATAATTTAACTGTGAAGCATTCATCGCTCGACTAAAGAATTGTATATATCTAGGTTTGTTATCTATAACCTGATATAATACTCCTACTAGGGCTAAGTCGGTGGCGTCCGTTGCTATCTCAAACGGCACGCCATCGACTGGTCCTTGTACAACAGGGGCTGTCTTCCATTCAAATAACCGTTAGGGGTCAATTGGTACATGTCATACCCACACTGTGCGTCGGCACATTTCTTTATCTTTCTATATGAAGGTACCTTGTCCTTCGGCTCCGCGCGTGCCCGTTTATTGGGTCGCGTTGATTGAGTAGAGTCGCGAGTACTTGTCTGGTTAGGACGCGTCTGACGAGGCTTATCATCTGACGCCTGACGTGAGAGGTATCCTTGATCAGGGAGCTCGCGCGGCTTCTTATTTACAGCCTTTCCCTTCGAGGTTACTCGATGTGCTGGAAAATGAATGGATATAGTATCATAAAACTGTTCCCACGTAAGTCGCGAAATATAAAATTTTGTTTCATGTCCCTTGTCTCGAGCCTCAATTGCGTACTTACGTCGCAACTCGGTGTACAGACTTTCGCGGTCGTTATTCCCTATGTTCTTACAGAACACATGCATAACCAGGAACTCGTACCATCGCTGCGCCTTGTCCTTTGTTATATCTGGACGTTTAAGGTCAGCATCAATTTTTAGAATATAACTCTGAATAGGAGTATTCTCAACTGGTTCAGTTAAGATAGAACTCAGTCCTGGACTGTGCATGTCCTTGCTTATTAAGGACGTAACCAACCAGCACACAGCTGGCCTGTCACGACAAGTGTCTAGCTCATGCTAGTGTCGCTGCAGGATCAAGTAACTTGTTCCTGTAAGGTCAAATGACTGCATTAAAGCAGAAATCCATTGCTGGGGAGCGATATCATTCGTCTCCAGCATGACCGTGTACGGGTTAGCATATCGAGGTCATTGTAGCTTATAAACTCAACTGGCTTACTGTTGGCATCCCAGTTCGACTTAAGTCGTCTGATCTGTCTCTTGTTTTTCGGATTATTACGGTGGTCTTGTCCACGTTGGGCATGAAGTAGCTGATCGATGCGCTTCTGCTTGATCGCGATCAAATTAGCAAAATATGATACGTCATCAGCAAGGTGCTCGTCATGGGCGATTTTCATCTTAATGGTGTAATCGTCGACCGATTTATTAAGTTCGGTCACCTCGTCAGTGTGGGAATCCTCTGCGGGTTGGTGTAATGCGGTGCGATCGAAGTGATTAAATTCGATATCGTTAACACGTTTACGGGAGTGTATATTACCCCTTGTAAAGTCCTCAAGATTTTAATGTGGAGGCCTGGTTTTACACTGCCACCTTTTCCTTGATTGCCCTTCCTGACCAATTCTTACTCCTAGACGACTCACCAAAAGAGAGACATATTTAATCCATTCTTTGGCCAACAATGCTTCAAATCCTAGATTGCTGACCCCTCAAAGTAGCGCAATCTGAAATTTTCGTTAGTACTCAACGTCACGCACAAAGATTTCATCGCATCGTCCGAATCATCCAGCAAAGGTTTCATTGACTTGGCAAAACTGCAGAACGTGGCCCTGGTCCACACAGGAGATCTGACATCTTCCGGGTTCATACCATGTACCGCTCTGCTCACTTCCGGGGATAAGATTTCATGAAGTATAGTATCCCTGGCTTTTGCACATTTATTTGTCGGCAGCTGTCCTACTGCTACATGGTCTCATCTTCCTGATAACACATGCAGGGTCTGCGCCCATTGATATACACTCTCGTGTGTCCGATTAAAAAAATACCTTTTCTCCCGTCATCGTTTAAGTAAATTGAAAAGAGTTGTATTCTTGACTAGGTCGTAGTTTACTTGTTCTGTGCTCAAACACAACGTAAAGGAACAAGGATCAGAGTAAGCTCTTTTACTCCGACCAAAAACCTTCTTTATTTTAGGTTTCAATAAACTATTTGTTAACCTCTGAACACTACTTCCTTTCATCACGGTTTCCTACATATTTATACTGTTCCACTCAGTTGATCCTCTGCTTCCTTTCTGGTCAACTTGTCTTTTGCACTTTTCCTTCTGTCTGCAACCTTTTTCAGGTTTTACTTATCTTCAGCCAATGACAGCTTCCCATAAACCTCTACCAATAAGAGTCGTATTGTCCTTTGGGACTAGTCGACTTACCTATGGATAGGTATGATGTCAGTATTGTCATCCTGACACTGCCTGTCAGATGCTGACAGAAGACACTCTAAAATGTGGTCGATGAGTCATGCACATAACAAAATCGCAGTCGTCTTTTTTTTATCGTCTATTATTTAAAAGAAAACAACAAAATTTAATCCCAAAAAAATGTGCAAAAAAAAAAACGGTGCCAGGCTGAGAGTCGGAGACCTAAGGCTAAAGGGCATAGGACCCCAAATCTCTCCAATAGAGGCTCAGCCTCCTAAGCTCGTTACGTTATGGGACGTTATGGGGGTGCTGATTGCCGAATAGAAGCGGAACGTAAACGCATATTTTTGGGTTTTCATCGTTGGGAACGGATTCGGGTGTTATAGCCAATATTTACATCGCTCCAAAATGCTCGGATTGTGAAATGATATTTTGGCTGAGCAATTTGTTTTAATAAAAACAAATTTCTCGGGATTTTACGCTTTCATCAGAAGTTGACACTCTTCTTGTGTTGACATTTGACAGTCCAACAAAAGTTCACAGCACAGACGCACAGTGTGACACTGTGACTGTGTGCGTGAGGTGGGTGAACAGTGACTGTTGATAGTTGTAAGCCGTACATATTTACTAAAGTTTGAACAGTGAACAGTGAACAGTGAGCAGTTTGTTGCACACAATACATACACTATTCATGCACTATACACAGTACACACTTTACAGTCGGTGTTATTACACTACCAGACTGACACTAGAGTATGCCTCACTGTCCAGTGTCCACCTTCCACACTCCACACCCCATGGGCCCACAGCTAAGCTCAATGCGTTAAAAGTTGTAACTTTTATTATGCCTCGAATAAACATTAAAGTTGTAACTTTTATATCTCGATAGTACACTTCCATATATGATAGGTGCATTTTCCAGGCCACTCAGGTGACAGTCGTCACAACTGAAACGCTCAATCTCTTTTGATTGCCTATTATCAATTTCGTGGCCTAAAAATTTCAACGATCGGACAGCTTATTGAGTGCAGTTTCCAAAATATCTTTGTAGTTGATTTGTCCTAAATAAAAGTTATAACTTTAAAAAATAAAAAAGTTAACATTAAAGTTGGAACTTATATTCCGTTCCCCTATAACTTATTGAGCTTAGGCCCACAGTCCCACACTTTACAGACCAGTGACCAAGGCCACAAGGTACAGGCCCACTGGCAGACTCCATCGTCCACGCTGGCACACTCCAACTGTCCAACTGTCCAAACTCCACACTCTCGCGTGAGTTGTGAGTTGTGAGTTGTGAGTTGTGAGTTGTAAGTTGTGAGTTGTGAGTTGTAAGTTGTGAGTTTGTGATTAATGATGTAAAGTTGTACACTAACACTGACTACAGTCTACTACAGTTCTAAATACAAACTGCAGTTCTACACAGTATTTACACGATATGTCAGTTATACATACACACACAAACACACACTCTCTCTAGAGAGTACACGACGTTTGTACTACTAGTCCAAAATTTTAGTCTACTCCATATATAGTCTCATAAATACTAGTGGAGCTCTCTAGAGAGCTCCACTAGTTGTCTGCTACAGCTACTACTACTACTACTACTAGTCTGCTACTCTAGACTCTCTCTACTAGAGTCTAGTATAAAAAGTAAAATACCAACTTGACTATAGAGGCTTTTTATGAGTCCTCTAACTCTTCTCTGTCGCTGCGTGTCTTTATTTACTCTCAAAGAGTAGTCTCTATTGTGCACTCTCTATTCTACGGCTCTACATATCAATAAAGAAAAAATTTATTCCCTAAAATTTCCAAATGAAAAAGAGGACAGTCAGGACACAGCTCACGAGTCACGACTCACGACTACGAGTCACGACTCACGAGTCACAAGAAATTTGAAATAACACAAGTGACAGTGTGACACTGGACAAATAATAAAACAACAATGTCAATAAATAGCTCAATCCCTGAAGATTATTTATATATTTCTATTTTTTGCATAAGTATTTATTACTATTTAAAAAACCTTCGGGCAAGTTCTGTCACTTCGGGGCCTCGGCCGGAGGTCAATGGTGGAGCCGCTGGAGCGCCGACTATTTATTTTTAGAGTAAAAAATAGGTAAAAAGTGAACAGGGAGTCAGGGACAGACCGACAGAGACTCAGAGAGCCAGCCCATCAGGGCAGTTGAACAATGAACACGCTTCTCCTGTCGTGGGGCCTTGGGCCTTGATCAAGTCCTAACTTCTGTCCAAGTCCCAAGTCCCAAGTCCCTACAGTATTTCACACAAGTCACTCAAATATTTGTAAAATAAATGCATAAAAAAAATGAAAGTAGACCACAGTGGCACAGTGATCGAACGTTGAAAATATCTCTTGTTTTGTACAGATCACATAACCTATATGACATCCTGTGTCAATGTCGGTGTGTTCAGATTTACGCATATAATATAGTTGTCGATCAATATAGACGATATTTGCCACAGAGCTGTTTGTGGCGGTTGAGATAGAGAACCTTTTGGCCTTCTTCCCTTAAAGTCTGTTTAGTTCACGACTAGCGATTACAGAACTTTACACATATTGGATACTAGACTCTTAATAAGCATTTTGCTCGAAACGAGCTAAGGTAGCCTTACTAAATGCATTTCTGCAACAGGGGTGCGGGTTCTCTCATCGAAGAGATGGATCAGAACAACTACAGATGGCCGAGTAACACCGGCGCTACGAATATGTTCAACTTTGATCGCACATTCGCTAAACAGCAAGTAGCAGCAGATAAGCCACTACCCAATAATAAGGTAAATGCTGCAACTGGTATGGTTTGGGAAGCGGAGCAGGAGAAGCCCACGTCGCCCACTTTTTTGAATCTTATAGAAGAGTTGCAAAGGGCTTCCGCCCCGCCTACACAAACTATAAATGACCAAATTCCACCCATACAAACACCACAGCTGAATTTCGAATGTGATGGGAATCAACAGGCTCCTCAACAGCCACAATCTCTCAACAATTTAAGTAGCACAAACAAGAGTTCAAATTCTCGAAATCCTTTTGTTATGGGTGGTAGGAGACATACACTGTCGAGTGTCAAGGAAGGAGTTGATAATATTGGGTCCAAATGGCTCAAAACTCATGCCAGGCCACCCGCGCAACCAAATTCGCCATATTCCGGTTTATATGCACAGAAGCGACAATCTAGTCAACCAAAACTTCCACAGTATACAAATAGTCTCACTGGAGATGACCCCTTAAATGAAGTTATGGACTTTTTGGGAAGAACTGATATAAACGCCCCAGCCTCTATGCAACGCGGATATTCACCCAAAGCTCTCCACCCAGCGAATGAAGGTCATAGATCGCTATCAAGTATGGGAAGGCGAGCAACATACAATGGTGGTAATTTTGAGCACCGTCGGAATGCCGATATGACGATGGACGGTATGCTACAAGATAGTAATTGTGCGGCTATGTGGACAGACCACGATGCCAACCAGCGTGCGTCCATGGATCAGGGTTTGTACAAGGTTCAAGACCTTATGTTACAGAATCGAGGGGATGCAAATTTAAATGTCATACCTCAAGACTTGTGGAGTGCACTGCAGCGGAACCAAGGAGACAACGACTTGCAACAGCAGAGGAATACGTCTCTGCAAGATGAGCACCTTAATAGCGGCTTCTTTCAGTCCGATTCGAATTTGATGTTCGGCCACAGCCCGCAAAACGGGGACTATAGTTCGCCGAATAGTATGGGAGATTTTCAACATACGGGCCAGAAAAAGGGACGACGACGTCGAACATTTGCCGAGCTTTCTAGAGAGTTCACATGCACTTATCCTGATTGTGCCAGGCCCTATGCTAGCGCTCACTCACTGCAGCAACACATAAGAATTAAGCATACCATGACGCATCCCACATTATTCAAAGGAAGCAAGAAGACGAACGACGACGAAGTGAATGAAAAGGAGCAAGACGATGAGTTTGCGGGCACAGGTTCGGGGTCTGATGCCGAGTCTATCGGAAAGGTGGATATCAAGGAGGTTGACATGAAAGAGATGTGCACAAAGAATGGCACGAATGATTGTGGCGACCCAGTTGAAACGAAAGCAGAACCAAAGAAGAAAAGCTTCGCATCGAACATCATAAGTGCTTTGCATAAAAAGAAGATGAAGGAGAAACCTCGCACTGAAACTTTCGTCGCTGCATAGACACCAAGATGCCTCGATTTTATACAGGAAATTAATCGAGCTTACTCTAGCTGGAGAGGACAGACGAATTCGAAATAAAGCAAAGTATCAAGATACAAAAGGTCAAGGGTCTAACAAATATAGAGAACGGAACGGAAACATAGCGGTTCGCCGAATCACATTAGTTGGAACTACGACTACGGCTACAATAAAAGGGAGCATTGACGACTCAGGTCAGACACTAGTAAATTCCTTATGACATTGAACATGACGTGCCGTCCCCACCTGATTAGGTTGTTACCGAATATATATAGAGGTCTAATATATGTATATATATATATATATTTGAATATATATATGTATGTATGTATGTATGCATGCATGCATGCATATATGTATGTATGTATG